TAACAAACAGCAGGTGAACTAGAAGGTGGTAAATTTGCATTGTTTTCTTCTAGTCTTTTTACTTTCTCACTAAGTTCAGCTATTTCTGCATCTTTTTCCTTTAATTTCACTTCAAATAGTTTAGTTTGTTGATTTAGTTTAGTTTGTTGATTTTCACTTGAAAGTCATCCTTTAACTCTTCAAATGCTTTGTTAATCAACAAAGCTATACATATCTTTTGTTGGTCAGTGAGTTTAGTCATATCTCAATCCTTGATTTCCACCAATGAAATAAAAGAGAAACAACCACTACAAACAACAGTGGATTACTTCTTTGATGTTGAGTTTGTCTTTATAGGAGGGCTTCCACTCTGAATACCAGTGGATTACCTCCCGTTCAGAATTATTAGAATATTTTATATATCTTATTAACACAAATAGAACTGTTTGTATTTTGTGTTTATATATATATATATATATATATATATATATATATATATATATATATATATATATATATATACTCACACACGCATATATATGTATATGCACACACATATATATGTATATATATTATATTTATATATTTATATATTATATATATTTATATATTATATATATATATATATTATATATATACACACAAACACACACAAACACAACTATCAATGCACATTTCACACTCGAAATGTGTGAAATGCAAGAGATAAAGAGTATTCCTAAAGAGCTTTTATTTCTTTCATATATATCCTTTAAAACAAACATATAAAAAGTATAAATATATAAATAATATAAATTTAGCATTAAAATAAAGTTAAATAAGTCAAAATTGATACTTTTATTATGAATAAAAGTAAAGAAATCTCATGTAAACAACTGTTTCTTTCAAGAATGCTTTCATAATATATTTGTGTATTTACTTTCTTTCATGCAATTCTGCGCACAAGGAACAATGACAAACTGTTTGCGCGCACTAAATTATCGGAACTGTGAGGAGGTCTATTTAGTTAATTATAATTACTCTTTAATGCACAGTTTATTTAGAGTTACATTACATTATGCAGCATAAGAGTTTAAATTACATTAGTATGTTTCATTTAATTGATTTTTCCTGGAATAAAGACAAAATAAAACTAACTGAAGCTTAAACAAAACAAATTAAACATGGAACTGGAAAAACTCGGAGAATAAAGAAACAACTTGAAACAAAATCAGCGCAGAACCTCATAACGGAGTGAAATAAAAGCATATGTAAATTAAGCACAAAGTGCTGAGAGAAAACAAAACAATTTGTACTATTTAAAATTTAGTGTTGCTATCAAAAATTAAAACCTTACCAGTTATTAAAACTTTTTTATTTTTTTTATAATGTTTTTTATCAAAACATCAAAAATATTAACTCGCTGAACAAATTTAATTAAAACATTTTTGAAATTGATAACTAGATGGGTTCGACAGAAAATTAAAGAATATCTAGGAACAACCATTATCCAAAATATCGTTCCCAAGGTCAAAATGAACTACAGAAAATGGTACAAATAAGTGCTAAGTTCTTTTTTAACCTACTGCTTGTGATCAATCTTGATTTGTGATTATAAACATAGTATAAACATAGTATAAACATAGTTATTAATGTATAAACTAAATAATTTGATAACAGGATAAACTGTTTTGGGTTCCTGATGGGGAATCTAAAGATGCTCATCCCAGCTTCAAGTTTAAATATTTGTTAAGTTCAAGATTTTTTGCAGTTTCAAATTGGAAGTCAATACATCATAATGATTTCCAAAGAGAATAGAAAAATAGTGAACAAGAAGTTTGAAAAATGCAAAACATAAGATAAAAAATGCAAAAATTTGAACATTAACAAAAAAAAATTAAAAACTCAAATGTTTTCAATGTAACTCATTGACAAAAAGGTTTAGAAATTTAAATTATATTTTTTTAGATTTTATTTTATCATTTAAAAACACAAAATTAAAAAAAAAAAAAATGAAATCCTACACCTATTACTTTCTCAAGGTTTACAGACCTAAAAAAAAATTTTAAGTTCTAAAACCTTTCTGATTCACTTCCAACAAGGATGCAAGCAACCACTATTAAATTACTAGAGTTACTACAAAAAAAGAATAGAGTTATAGAGCAAGGATATGGTTGACAGAAGACTTGAAAAATTAAAGGTCATATGAGTCAGAAAAACATGAAGATGAGTTAAAGTTCCTAAGAAATAAAGCGCGGGGAAAAAAAACTAGACTAATAAAATTTTTTTTGAGCATGCAAGGACAGATACAGTTAACAAATGAGACTTTGCTGATGACGATTCTAACGAGAATGAGATTTAGTTAACAGAACTAGAGATGATAGCTCCTTCGAGCATTGTCCATGATAGTATTTGTAGAAAAAAGAAAGAGATGCAACTTTACGAAGATGGAAAAGAGGCTTACAATGCGTTTTTGTAACTTGGCTAGAAGAGAAAGAGCATCATTAGAAGAACCAGCCCAAATATGACAACAGTATTCCATACAGGGACCAATAAGTGATTTGTAGAAGTAGAGAATGGAATCAGGAGTTAAAAAATAGCAAGCACGATAAAGAGAAGAAAACTTAGTGGATGCTAATTTAGCAATCAACTGTATATATGGTTTCCATCAGAGGTCAGTAGTAAACAATAATCCAAGATGTAAAGAAGAGGACTCAGTAAGAGGGTTGTCATTCATTAATATAGAAATGTCAACAGTATTGTGATAGTTGTTTGCGGCAAATAACTGAGTTTTATTAGAGTTAAAAATTACAAACCACTGTGAGTTCCAATCTGTTACAGAAGTGAGATCAGACTCAAGATCGGCTGCCTATTCTGAGTGATTAAAAAAAGAAGACTTTGTGTTTAAAACAGGAGTATAAAGTTGAGTCATCAGCAAAAAGAGCTACTTTAGATGTAAGGTTGTCAGGAAAATCATTAATTTAAATAAGAAACAAAACAGGCCCAAGGATAGAACCTTGAGGTGCCCCAGAAGTTAATGAAATTGAAGAATAGTGTTGGCCTTTGAAGATGACTTTAATAAAGCAGTTAGAAAGAAACAATTTGATTATCTCAAAAACTTTCCCATATACACTATATGAAACAAGCTTATGGAAAAGACCAGCATACCAAACTTGTTGAAAGCTTTAGATATGTCATAAGAAATAGCTCTAGCCTCTCCGCCTTTACCTAACCCACAATAAAATCTTTTAGTCACAGCAGTTAGCAAGTCAGTTGTAGAGCGAGAGAATAGACAACCGTATTGATTGTTTGACATTATGGTATTTGACTCAAGATGGGATGTGAGAAATATTTTGATCAAAGACTCAAAGACCTTGTTCCTTTTTTTCCTTAGATTTCCTTAAATAAAAAATTTATAATTTTTTTTTATTTCTGTAAAGATAACCAAGTGTATCATTATGTAAAAATATCTGAAATAATCTGGTTTATTATTTGTAGACAAGCAGAAGGACATGTCTACAAAGTGTTTAGAATGATTAGACATTCAATTATGCAAGATAGCGTGCCAACCCCCAGAGCTAACAAAAGCTATTTTTAAAATGTGAGCTATGTTATGATGCATTAACACTGTTAACACAAATAAGGGCCAAATTAAGGCATTTTTACAAAATATTAATACAAATTATTGTGTTGACTATATTGTTGTAAGAATTAATAAACATTTAAAATTTTTAAATATTTTTGTCTATTTTTTATTAGGTAATACTTTGTGTGAAAATACAAGCTTTAAATTGCACCATTATAATTTTTTTTTTTGCTTGAAAATTAATAGTTACAAAATATTTACAAACAAAAACCACTAATCCTAATGAAATGGCCGCTTACTGTAGAAAGTATAGATAAATGTGTGTGTATTTGTATATGTATATATATATATATATATATATATATATATATATATATATATATATATATATATATATATATATATATTTATATATTTATATATATATATATATATATATATATATATATATATATATATATTTGTGTGTGTGTGTTTACATGTATTTGTGTGCGTGTTTCACACACAAATATATACGTATAATCATGAAAATTCGAACTAACATTAGGTGACTTTTAAATGTCACTAAATATACTTTATCATGCTTATATCTATTTTAAAGCTTATTTAATTCTCTATAAGCTATTTTACTTGTTTTTGAATAACTAATAAAATTTAGGGAAAAAATGGTCTTAGCAAGAAGAGATATTGCAAGATTTTTAACTAAGATTAATGCATGTACTATTTGTAAATAACCATGTGTAATAACTATTTCATAAATATATTGATCGATTGGTAAGATAACAAATTTACTCAAAATTGCAAGGATTAATATTACCATAGATCAATTCAATGCTGAATAATTTCGAAGAAGCACTATCTATGATATAATTAAACATGGGGAGAATGATTCTGGACATAAACAAGTGCAAGTAAATGGTTGTTTGGCCAAAATCATGACCCTAAGATGATGGACCGTCTAAAAACCATGTTTGATCACAGCATCCAGGTTTCATTGAGTCAAGTTGGTTGAAAACTCTATTTAATGATACTTTTACATAATCTCAAACTTAAAAACTAGGGGAGTATACAAGTGCCCTTCAAAAGTCAGTCAGAATTTTTAGTAACCATCCAATTGGTGAAAATAAATTTTACTATAAAAAGAGTGTTTTGTGTGTTTTATTAGTTTTACTAGTTACAGTGAATCAAAATATATTGCTGAAAAAAAAAATTTTATTTGAATAAATACAATAAATCCTTAAAGTAGAGGTAAAAACTTACTTCATAACAAAAATTAATTTCTTTATTGTCCTTTAAAAATGAAAATGAAATAGTGTGAAACAATACAGGTGTTAAATACTACAACACTAAAACTTGAATTTCTTAAGTCTGAAGATCAATAAAACATATATATTAATAAATTTATTTAGATTTTGAAGCCATAACATGAATAAACAAAATTTATTAAATAGCTTACTTTTTCTACTAAGTTTCCTGGACAAACAACAATCATTCCAATATCTGTTGTAACTTCTATTTTCCAGGTACAAACTTCACTGAATGAATCAATACACGGAAACCAGAGTCTATATATAAGGTAGTAAATAAATTTAGAATATTGCCTTTGCTACTAAGTAAATTTTTAGCTGTGAGTTAACTGTCTCTAAAAGCTGTATCGCAATTGTGGTTGTAGTATAGTAAATAGTCTAGATTAATAATGATAACAGTATCAATTCAGTATCAATGCAGCAGATATTTTTATACTTTGTTCAATATGGATCTTTAACTGGAAAGTCAGATAATTATGATTTGCATCATAAGCAAACAATAAGTTTAAGAGATGGATCTTATATAAGGTCTGGTTGGTAGAGCTAATAAAAATCTATAATAATTCATAAGGTCTTTACATCAATCTACAAATTTACAATGTTTAAGTTCTGTATAGCTGTGTAAAAAAATAGTTAATCAAGACATAATAATAGAAAAAATAATAAAAAAATAATATTTTTTTTAAAAGCCATACCGACTTGAGTTTCCATATTTGTAAGTAAATAAATGTGACTTTCTCTATAATCATTTAAATATAATAATACTCAATATATATATATATATATATATATATATATATATATATATATATATATATATATATATATATATATATATATATATATATATATATATATATGCTTCTAATAATTTATAATAATAAGGTAATAAATAATAAAAAAACATTTAATTTTAAAATTATTAAACTTAATTTTCTAATTGATAAACTAAAAAAAGTTATTACAAACTATATTCAAATTAATATTTGTTCAAAAACCTTCACCGGACTTCCTTCTATTTCAGGATTTACAAAATGGATTCCACCTTTCGGATCTTCAAGAACAAATTCAATGCTAATGCGAAGTGTTCTCTTCTCTGTAACACCATATTTATTCACCATGTTAATACTATTGTATTACTTATTAAATATTTAGTAGAAAAAAATTTATAATCAAAAAAAAATTTATAATTAACAAAATTTTGAAATTAAAAAAAAAAAATGATGTTAGTTAAGAAGTATATATAAGTATTTATAAATTTATATTTGAAATAACACAGAAATTTTTTCATAAATTTTATCTATGAAAAAATTGTCAAATTGTTTACCAGCTATAAGAGGTATTGTTTCACTAGGCAGTTGCACAATAATTTCTCCACCATTTTGATCAGGTTCTGTTTGCAAAACAGCAGCTTCTAATTTATTTAAAAGAACATCTAGATTCTGCACAGTATCAGGGCAAAAGTTTATTCCAGGATCTTGTGTTAAAAATGATGCTTCCAACCAAGTATCTAGTCCAGAACCTTTTACACAGATTCTGAAAATTTTAGATTGTTTGCAGTTAACTTTAATTCGGCTGAGGTGGTTGACAAGTGGCAATATATGGAGCTCAGCAAAGCCCTAGAGAAAGTACAAAAATAATCATTTAAAAAAAAAACTCTTTTTCCTTTTTTTCGGAAAAACGGTCTAGTTCAATATCAGTATTTTAAAAAATAAGGTACACAAAATATATAAGGATACAACTAAGTTTTGCACTGGTTAAAAAAGAAAACCAAAATAAAAAAGTAAAAGCAATTGAAAGAAATATCATTATAAAAAAAGAAAAACAATAGTAACTGTGATATACAAGAAATTGGATTCTACTATGTATGAATGTACAAAAACTACTTGACACAACAATATCCTATCAATTGTAAGATATGCAATTGATAAGATATTGTTGTGCCTCATCAATTCTGATACAGCTAGAATTTATGGAAGCCTAAAAAGTCCTAAAAACAGCAGGCTAGTTTTAAGTATTTAATTTCAACAATCACAACTGCTTTATATCCCCATAAACTAATAAAACAACTGTTATTGAAACAGAACCAATTATTAAAAATTTGGTTATACAAAATCTATAAACTTTTAAATTGAAAATCAATTGTAAAAAAAAAATATTTAATAAAAAACTGGAATAACTTTCTCAGGTTTTACTGGATTTTAATCTGCAATCACGATTTAATAAAACCAAATAGAACTAGTGAATGTGAAAAGCTGAACAACTGAATTACAAGTGGGAAAAAAATTGTAGTTATATACTTTTATTATGTTTATTAGCTTTTATTCCACATCAAACCACCTAGACCATTGAATTAAGTGTCTTCCTTTTTTTTTAACACATAAGATTCCTATTTATGCAAAATATTAGCAAAATATTTTTAACAGTTGACGAGATAAGACTTTTAAATTGACCTGGTTTCCCAAAATAACCCAGTTTTTATGATATTAAAAAAAAATTCTTAATAAAATAAGAAATAACAATGGAAAAAATATTAAAATAAACATTTATAATGCTTTTTTGATGCATAATTTAATGTACTTAAAATGCTGAAATATGAATTGAGCATTTTTATAAACTAATAAAACAACCCAGTTGAATTTATTTTGCTTTTAATATTTTTTGTATTGTATTTGTAATAGTTTTCAATATTTTGTTGTAATAGTTGTAATTGTTTTCAATATTTTTGCCATTTTACAAGTATTTCTTCTGCTTTTCAAACCTAAAGTTTCTACCAGATCTAGAGCAAGCATATGAAACAGTTTATTCAATATGTTTTTATAGGAATAAAAGTGTTGAATATAGTTTCGGTTTGATCATTTTGAATTTTCTTTGCACCTTTTTACAGTAATGTCAATTCCATCTCTTGATGACTTTCCATGGGACATAAAAAAAGGTTTCATTTAGCTTTAAGACTTGATTTACGCACTAATTAGCACAGATGCAAATAAATGTAAAAACTTTTACATTTTTTTACTAAAAGTTAGTTTTTTTTTAGTGAAAAAATGTAAAAGCTTTTACATACTTTTACTGCCCTCCACAACCATCAGAGAATAAATTTGGACGGATTAAGAAATTTTTTTCTTAGCATGGGTAATATTAGTTAAAATATTTTGCGCACAAGGGTTAAATTGTGAGTAATGTGGGCTGATATAAAGCAATAAGATATATTTTAGTACACATTCATCGTCATAATATTATATCATAATAAATAAATTGTTGTTGGGTGCTCCAGTGATAGCTCTGTATTTCATCTTGATTACAAAAGCGTAATTTTCTGCAAAGTTGCCAATAATTATTATGCTTGATTGATACATGTTTTGTTTTAGTTGGTTAAGGTACTGCTATTGAGAGTGGGCAATTAAAGAATAAGCTTATAGAGTTTTAAAGCAAGATAATGATAGTTTAAGAAATATTGGAACATCTGCTGTCAAAAATAATAGCGCTGCACAATCTGTAGTTTGCCATTGCTAGTAGTTTATTTCAAAATCATCTCCATATTCTCTGAAAATCTCATACAAGTAGGCAAATGATTCTCTACAGAACAATCATAATAATGTTCAAGTATGTATTCTTTGTTTTTTACTGAGCAAACAGTTTTTGAAAGTATATTTTTATATGCTTCATCAATAATTAACAATTAAAATATATAACACTTTCTCCTGACAAAATGCACTTATTTGGTTTAAATAAAACAAATTTTGAGTAGGGGAGAGTGGGGCACCATGAAACACTTTGAGTTTTTGCATCCTAACAATATTTTTAATATGATTTTTTTTTTTTAAGCAATTAGTTTAAATGATAGTATATTTATAATAAATAAATATTAATAATAAGTATATATTTATATATTTATTTATATTATATATTTATATTACATATTTATTGACACAAAATAAAATCTATAAATTACCAAAATATAACAGGTTAAACTTGTGAGACTAGTTTACAGGGTGGCCATTCAAATCTGAAAATAAAATTCCATGACTTTTCCATGACTTTTCCATGACTCTTTATAAAGTTTTATGATAAATCACTAGTGTAAAATATTTAGTACTTGCCATGCACCTAGCCGTTGCCACTTGCAAAAACTCACAAACCAAAAACTAATTGCTAAAAAATTCTAAAATCATGTCTGAAAAATCTCTTATGTTTGCATTATAACTGACCAAAGTTTGACCAAAGTATCACAATTGTAACTTTAAAAATAAAGGCACGTGATCTTTTAAGAGAACAAATAGAAAAAATAAGAGCGCATGGAATGCTAGGTGTTTTACCATAACTCTTACCAACTACTCTTACAAAATTTTTTAACTTATTAACATTTTTTAATCTTTTAAAAGGATATATATTTTATATTTTACATATATATTTTATCTAAGATAGATATGCTCACTATTTTACAAAAATAAATAAAATAATCTTTACTAGGTGTTTTACCCTAACTCTTACTAACTAACTACTCTTAAAAACTCTAATTTTTGAACAGATTCAAAAAAATTACATTTTTAATATTTTTAAAGAATGTATATTTTATATTTTACATATATATTTTATCTAAGATATGCTATTTTTAATATGATTTTTTTTTTTAAGCAATTAGTTTAAATGATAGTATATTTATAATAAATAAATATATAAATAAATATTAATAATAAGTATATATTTATATATTTATTTATATTATATATTTATATTACATATTTATTGCCACAAAATAAAATCTATAAATTACCAAAATATAACAGGTTAAACTTGTGAGACTAGTTTACAGGGTAGCCACTATTTTACAGAAATTAATAAAATAATCTTTATTAGATAAAATGAAATAATAAACTTAAATAACAGTTTTAACCACATAACACAGAGTAAAATTGATTTTTTTTTTTTTTTTTTTGTAATTCACCTCCCCAAGGTGAATCAACTCTAACTCCAAAACACGAACCTTGACGAACAAGACCGCTGCGCAGAGAAACAAGTTGAGCGCGGTACTACCAGGGACGTGCTGAGAATCGAACTTGGAACCTCTCGCTTATGAAGCGAGCGCTCTACCACTACACCACTACCGCTTAGTACTAAAAGTCACAAAAAAATATTTTAAGAGAATCTACTTTGATGAAGGATATAAAACTTTAAAATAAGAATTTAAAATGGCTGATCCAAGTAGATTTTCCCAAAACATTTGACCTGCAATTTAAGTACTTTTAGGATCTCTTTAATTGCTAGTGTAACTTTACTCTAGACATTTTAGGTTTCTGAATAACAAATAGCTATCAAGTATAACTTTTTTTGTGCAAGAATTATAGATACAAATCTTTTATATGAATGGTTAAAGTAACGAAGTTTAAAATTTTGAACAAAAATAAATATTCAAAAAAATAAAAAGTACTTTACTACATTAAAACTATCTATCAAAATATAAAATGACTTACAAAAATACTTTCAACTTAAAATGTTAAACAAAACAAACTATAAAAACAAATCTATGTAAAACTAACTCTTTTTTTAATCTGTTTCTAATTTACTAATTGCATTATCCAGCTGTTCAATAAGCGTTTGCTTTTCTTTTACTTTTCGCCTGAAAGCATTGACTTTAACTAATAATTCCATGGAATTAGATTCTTCTGCTTGAATGCTAAAACGTTCAATCAGCGATAAACTTTCTTTTTTCTGCATTTTTTAGTAATAATACTTTCCTTTTTATTTTCATCTAAATATTGCACATATCGAGAATGAGCTAACTTGCAACTTTTTGTTAATTAATTAGTTATTGTAAAATTTTGAACATCCAGTTTCGATGCGGTTAGATGGTCATAAACAGTACGCTTTCTAATCAAAAAAGTTTGTTGCATGTTCTCAATTAAAAGTTCTTTGTTGACACTAAAACCTCGCTCAACAGCACACTGACTGTGAGATAAAGTGAAAACTAGGATGCAAATTTTCTTTAATAATTCAAAATGTTTGTTCCCATTCAAGTAAGACATTAAAAACTTGTCAAGTCACATTTTTAGGCAATCAAATTGCCTGAACTTCTCTTTATTAACTGCTACAACAGATTTTGTAAATTCTTCAAACTGATCTTTTGCAGAATCAGCTATTTGAGCCAATATCAACTTTGATCTCTTCACAACAGTTTTCTTTTACATAAATGTCCCTTCTAGCAGGTGAATCATTAAAGATTTGCCACATCGCCTTAAGGATCTTTTTTAAGTTCCATGGTATCGATTTAACACCAGAAGCAAATGCACCATAAATCACATGCAACCCACAACTTCCAATATCAAGTAAAGATGGTAACTCAGAGCTAGAAAGTTGGTCATTAAGAAGATCTTGAACTTTTCAGTTGGTATTTGGTCCATCCATGGAGAGCTGAAGAAAGTTTTTTGTAGGCAATTCTTTTAATGTCAAGAAACAAATTTCTAATTTTACTTAAACTGTTTAAGTAAAATTAGAAATTTGTTTCTTGATACCTCTTGATATCTTGGTACCTTGATCAACACTATGAGCATCATTAAAAAAGTAAATAAAAAGTATAAAATATAGAGAAAAGGCAGATTTGAAATATAAACAAACTAATATT